CTATTGTGCATCTCCCTTTCACCATTTAGCCTTTTCTATCTTGTCTCAGTCTCTTCTTATTTCCTTTTCTCTCTCGGGGTTCATAAAGTTGCCAAGGCTGAGCCAAAGCAAAGAGAAATATGCATTTCACAGGCAAGGGTCACGCAGAGGGCAGCACTGCAGCTCTTATTGCCGGTCCTGGGGAAAATGATGCAAGGTTATTTCAGAGCTGTTGCTCTCATTAAGTTTGTCAAATCCACCTTGAATAAGAGTAAATAAATAAAATATGGAATGTAAAACAGGGGGGAAACGGAAATGTTAGCATTCCAGTGCTGAAAACAGGCGTTTGCTTCATTTATATATTTTTCTCAGAAAGTGAGTTCATGAAGAATTAAACTCAGGGTCTCTGGTCTTAAGGGAAACCATATCCGTGGATTTTCTGCTGTGTCTTGGCAGAGCTTTCACCATTTGTCTGTACCTTCTTGCCATAGAAATCAATGTCCTTATCCACAGAAATTCCCTGCTTCTTCAGTGGAAAAATTGCAAGGTGGCAAATAGCAATTCAGGCTGATCTGATATAGTTGAGCATGAAGATTTTCTTACCTCTGCCCCTTATTATAGAGGTTCAATGAGGGAGGTCTGGAATTTCACGGTCTGCAGTTCAAAAAATTTCTAATAAAAATGTCCATCAGAGTGTCAAAGTGCTCATTAAAATCAGTGAGAGAGACTAAAAGCTGGTGGGAACTATTTTTCCTCTTGGAGAACCCTTCACTGCCGAGTTGATATTTGTACATGTAGGTCAGGCTGTTTTATTTCATGCAAGGTAAGAGGATTTCAGATGTGCTCTCCAGGGTCACAGGAATTGTTCCATATTTTGGCCACTTGAAACCTACATTTTTCAGGAATGTGCTCTGCTCTTGGGCTGCCTTCTGGTTCTGTATGCAAGGAACACGTGGCTGTTTCTGATGGTTTTAGCAACTCCCACAGGGTTGTGCACTTTTGCCTTCACTCCTACCATTTGCCCTAATCCGAAGAAAGCTACCATCTCCCTGTACTCGTGGTCTTGACAGAATTAAGTTCTCCCAAGTGGACAGAAGGCTGTTCATTCAGTGTTGGTGTTTCCTGGCTCTTGTCAGATTGTCATGGCTTTGTTATTAATGTACTTGTAGAATTGGTCAATGCACAAAGTTTTGTCTTTCACTAGTGTCAAATAGCTATTTTCACTGTCTCGGTGCGACTTGCTGGGTAAAAGCTTTCCTTTAACTTGAGTGAAAGCAAGGTGTTTCCTGGTCACTTCTAGTAAAAGGCCTGGCTGCTTTTAAGTACTTCTATACGCTCTGCAAAGACACGTGGTTTTTTTTCTTATGAAGGCTGATTTGTATTTCTTCTGGTGCATGTTTTTATTACAGAAAAATAAAAAAAAGCCTCTGCCTGCTTTGCAGTGGTGAAAGTCTCCTGTGGTCAAATTGGACAATTGTCAACGTTCCTGTATTGATGCTCTGCCACTTATTGCCACACTGCTTGGGGACATAAAGGAACTGCTGCAAACTTTGTTGGAGACCTAGTATGCAGCAGCTAGTTTCATGACAAATGCTTAATATTTCCTATTGCCAAACAATTCCTATCAATTTGGGAATGGATTTTCTTTGGCATGTGCTGAACCCCATCCTTCCAAAATATTGGAGGAAAAGCCAAAAGGTGCATTCATCAGTCGTATGGGATCCATCAGAAGACTGCTGTCATGTACTGTGCTCACCAGCCTTGGCTTCTCTGGAGGGGACACGGCTAAGGAAAGCCTAAGGAACCTGATGGAGATAAATAGGTGCACTGCAGAGTCTTACAGGGTGCTTCTCTCTGGGAATGTAGAAGTGACAGTGGTGGTTTGCAGGTTGACCACACACACCATCAAAGTGCAAATTGTGGACAAGTAAATGTAGAGATGGTTTAAACGTGGATCGCTGTAAATAGTTCCTGGTCTGTTGAATAAGTGACAAGACATTCAGTGAACTCAGAATATATCCTGAGGGAGGTGAAGGGATTCAGTGCCTAACTCCATTCCCTGTTATATAAGCACTGCTTTGGGTAATCGCTTTATCAACACATGAATAAGCTGATCCCTGGCCCTTGAAAAACTGCACAAATTTCATTTGAACAATTTTAGTGACTGGACCAGAAGGCACAAAAGGGCTGTCTGTCTATTGCCATATGACCCAATGGGGCTTGTAGGGAAGGTTGAGAATTAGCTTGCCTGGAGAAGAGGCTGAGTGTGGGAATAGATCCTGTTTAGACTCTTAAACTTAGCTGCAGTCAGTGCTGCCAAAAGACATCAAGCTTTGGGTTTGTTTACTTAGTTGGTGTCTTTCCATTTGCATGTTAGATTTGTAACATTGATTTCTGTGAATTTGTTTTCTGTATAAATTTTCATAGAAAGGAGTGGGCTGGAGAGAATTTTATTGTGGAATTGCAATCAAAATAAATACAAGTGGAACTTGTTTAGATGAGGAGGTTTAGCAGTGAAGATGCATTGGTGGTTATTTGCAAGGTGTATCCCCCTGTAAATGTGTTTACTGTGGAAAGTTTTTTGTGTGTTGTCTATTGATGTTTCACTACAGCTATGCTGTTAGAAGTCCCTTGTACACACGCCATCTAAAGGAAAGTGTCTTGTCCATTAATTAAACGAGTTGCAATTTGATTTAGAAGAGCTTCATGGGCTCTGTGATGTGAACTCTTTATCTCTAGTTAGAATGTATTGTGTGTGAGGGTGGTGATGCACTGGCACAGGTTGCCCAGTGAGGCTGTGGATGCCCCCTGCCTGGAAGCACTCCAGGCCAGCCTGGATGGGGCTGTGAGCAACCTGGGCTATGGGAGGTGTCCTTGCCTATGGCAGGGGGCCGGAACTGTGTGATCTTAAAGGTCTGTTCCAACCCAAACCATTCTATAGCTCTGTGATTTTATGAGTCTGTGAAAATCAATGTCACTATCCCTCCAAGATGAGCCATGACAAAACAGAATAGATTTTACTATGGCAATACAACTGTGATGTCTTCCTTAAATAACTGCTTGCCTTTCTGGATCCAACAATGCTGATTTAAATCCTAGAATCTGAGGCTGATGAATGGATTTGGCTTTTAAAAGCCTTCTCTTACACTTGCAAGTGTAAGAGAATTTGGGCTCTTGTAAGTCTATGGCTGATACCTCGGAAAGCAATGCAGACAAACATACTTGGTGGAGGACAATAGCATCATTTCATAATACTTTTTTTATCTCGATATCTTGACTGTCATATTCTGTGATCTGTGAATAGCTAATCTGCTATCTAATTTTACTGTACACCAATAATTTCTTGCAGCCACCCAGAAAACGTTTTTTCATGTTTGCCAGGAGACAGTCAGAGGCCTGTAAGCTATTCCTTTTGTATTTATTATTTATGAATTGCTTCTTGCTTTGGTATATAAGTGCCATTGAAGTCCTCAATCACTGCCACTGGCTCTGTGTTCATATACTTCATTTAGTGAAGAGCCTCCCTGTAGTTCTCTTGCTTGTGCTGCATGTAGTGGTACAAAAGGTCACTGGAAACTTGTCACATAAAACCCAGCAGGAATGCTGAAAACAATTCAGGTTTTGGTTTACTGAAACATGAGTCAGTGGGTAGAGAAATGTCAGCATTTTCATAAGAACTGCCAATGAATGTAGTGCAGATGTGGCACATTTAAAGAGAAAACATTGATTCTCTGCAGCCCAGTCCTTTTGCTTTTTGGAGAACACCATGTCTTTCCTAATTCATCACGTCAGTGCCTAATTCAGTGTTTCCTAACTGTGGTCAATGCCAGATGTTTCAGGCACTGTGCTTTGTTTATTATTGGCCAGTCACCATCAAAGCCTTCGAGCACTTCAATACCTTCAGCTTGAACAAACTCACAGTATTACAAGACTGATGATAGAAAAGGAGAGGAAGGAACTATTTCAACAAGTGATCAGCACTAATTGCAAGGATGGAAACCTTACCTGATTGTGGTGTGGTGCTGTGAAAGGCATGCTGCAGAATAGCTGCTCTGACAGAATAATTGAGTATTTGGAGGAGCCAATGCTGTCTTCTCTGTACTTTGGTTATAGTTCTTTCCCTCCCTAGTAGGTCAGATTTAGGGAGAAGTCCTAATGCACTGGAATATCAGCACGGAAAATGAGGGTTACTATTTCATATTATATTCTGTTTTTGTTTGCTATTTGCTTTTCCTGTCCATCTTGCATGGTTGCCTCGCTTTTGACGTAGAGCCGATCTGATTATGTGTTATAGCATCACCCAGAACATGCATTCTACTAGCTGGGAAAGGATATGCACTTCAATAGTTCATTTTATTCCTGAAGCACTTTCCTGATCAAGTCATATAAAGGCAATAAAGTAAATAATTGTGTTCCCTGATCTCATGCTGTCCTGTCACTTACTGTAGTTATTGGGACTGCATCTCAGCCTTCTTATAAGCCAACACTTCCCTGGGGATTTGAAAATTAACATGTTGATTTGAGTAAATAACTATTTGGCACACACCTTAGTGCACTGCAGCAGCAGAATTGCAAGATGAAACTGCAGGTTAAAATGTAGAAATATCAGTGAAATCCAGCCTTTGTAACTGAAGCTTACTTGTCTAAGCTAAAATGGTGTGCATTGATTATCTCTAAGAGCAATGATTACTGATGTTCCAGGTGCCTTAAAGTTCCCTCAAGCTAGTCTTCTTTCACACATCTCCTGTGCAAGATTTCAGTGTTAGTGTGGATAAAGAACTATTCCTAGTCAAAGATCTAGATGAGGATGTGCTATTTTAGAATGTAAGAGGACATTGTTGGTTATAGACTTGGGGCCAGAGCAAAGGCCCTGGGCATAATTTATTTAGTGAGTAAAGATAGCCTTCAGATGCATACACGTGTCAACTTGATGTTGAAATGATTTTCAGGAAGCCACATGAATTCTCTCAAACTACAATTTGTGCTTCCTTGTGTAAATTATCACAGTGGTCTTGGAGAACATGCCGATGAACATGAGTAAGCAGTGCACCTTGCAGCAGTGAGTGCAACTAAAGAATAAGGAGAATGGGATCGAGTTGCTGTTACTTACAGATGAGGTGAAACCAGAAACTTCTCTCTGAAATGAACTGTGGTAGAACCAGAGGCAACAAAGAATCGGTTATGACTGTTTTTATACTTAATTGTTGTTAAGCATTGGCACAGGTTGCCCAGAGAAGTTCTGAAGGCCCTGTAGAAATATTCAGAACTTCACTGGACTAGATTCTGAGCAAACGGATGTAAAGTGCCCCTGTTTTAAGCAAAAGATAGTACTGGATATTTTACAGAGGTACCAGTCCAATTTATTTCATGGTTATGGCCAACTGAGAACATAATCACCTTTCTGCTATTTTTTAAAAATGCAAGTGTAAGATATATATCAGGTTTCCTTTTAGATGTTTGTCTGGGTGTTGTTTTTCCTCTCAATTCTACTTCTAGAGAAAGAAGTACAGGAAGACAGAGACAGGATATTGTGGGATTGCTACTGATAGGCTTCTGTTGGTGGCCAGGGTTGGGAAGGTGATTTCTGAAGTCACTGCAGAGAGTTAGAAGTCTGCAGGGCTGAACAGAGGCATGGCTGCTGCTGCACTTGGGCAGGCTGTAGAGTTCCCTGAGTGAATGTCTCTGTATCAGCACCACCAGGATTCCTCCTCAGGCTTGAGCGTGCCAAGATTAGGGGCTGTTGCCATGTATAGTGGAAATGCTAAAAGTCACAGCTTGAAACAGTGATGGAGCACCTGGTTGGAAAGCAGGGCCAGCTCAGGGGAACTCAGCTGCATGCAGTGTACTGAATGACCAGAAGGGCTGGAAACAGGATCCATCCCTTCCCAGCCCTCGTTTAAGGGTTGTTAGTGGAGTCACATATTTCTCTGGAGATCCCTGCATGCCCGAGGCCTTCTGAAGATAAGCAGCTTCTTTCTTTTGCTTGTGTGCCCACTGCTGATGCATTTGAGCAAGTCTTCACTTGCTGCAGTCTAGGACCTTGCTATTCAGCTGACACTGTTGTGCTTTCCATTATGTTACACCATGGAAACCTGACTGCAATCAATCCTGTTTAGCTCAGCATGGCTTTAATGAGGGTTTGTCACGCTTTGTTCTTTCTAACAACTTTATTATTATGAATAACACCATTTTGTAACAGAAGAGATTTGGTTTCTGCATATGGTTTTTCTTCTAACTTTATTGAAACTTGGTAAAAATGAGAAGGAAAACTTTTGTGTTTAAGTCCTTGAATAGAAGGAACAACTCAAAGTAAAATAGTATATTGTGAAGGGAGATCCAAGGTATGACTGTTGTGCCATGATGTTCTCACCCAACAAGCTATAAGTACTTGCACCAGACTTACCCCTCAGCAGCTCTGAGTCTGGGTCTTTCTTACCTGTTACTGTTGGAGGGTTACAGGAAAGCTGGGGTAGGAAGTAACTGTTGTTATCTAGTCCAACCTCCTACTCAAAGCAGAGTCAACTAAGAGATCAGATCAGGTTACTCAGAGCTTTATTCATGGAGATCCTGAAGTAGCAGAGACTGTGGGGCCTCTCTGGGTACCCTGCTCCACTGACTGTCTGCCCTCACTGTAAAAAGCTACTCCATATACATGGTCTGAAATACCTGTTGCAATTCGTGCCTGATGTTCTTTCAGCATGTGCTCCTGTGGAGGGTTTAACTCTATCTCCTTGATAACCTCCCTGTACACACAGGGAGACTGCTTTTATTTTCCCCAAAAGCTGCCTATTTCCAGCAGGTCAAGTGTTCCAGCTCCTGTCCATCTCAGTGACCCATGGCTGCACTCACTCCAATGTATTGATGACTCTCTTATACTTGTGGACCAAAAGTTGCATGGAGTATCTAGATATAGTGTAAATGGTGAGTCTGGCTCAGCTGCATTTCTTGTAGTCTTGATATTTGTACCAATGCAAGTGGTGTGAATGGACTACGAGGAAGCAATATACAGATGCTTCAGACTCTAAGGACATATAACACTACTGAAGGACGAATCACTCAATCTCTCTCTCTCAGACTCTGTCAATATCTATTTTCTTCTCCTGTATGTGAGGATGAGTAATAAAATCTATGGCCCTCACTGCTTTAGTTGTGTTTGTTAAACTGCACTAGTATACTAATAATTTATTAACTTGCCTGTCACTAATGATGGTTTGTGTCATGTTTTTTTGCAGGTTACATATCACAAGTACTAAAGAATTACACTGACCATGCCTGTGATGGAGAATATGTCTCCCTGAGATGCCCTCACAGAACTACCATCAGCATCCAGTCTTCTTTCTATGGCAGAATTGTACCAAGTCATCAGATGTGTCCTTCTCGCTCTCCCCACTCCTATGCAACTTTAATTAAGGAAGATGTTGCCTGTTCAGTTGGCACTTCCCTTCAGGTATTTCATGTTAAACTGGATCTGCTCATTTTGGAGTGCTTTCCTAGGCCGGTGTATAATCAAAGAATATAAGATAGTGTATAATCAAGGAAAACTGTATAAAGGAATATTGTATAATCAAATAATGTTAAGATGTTATAATAATGAAATAAACAAGAGAGCTAGGCAAAGCAAGACAAAGAGAATAGACAGGATGCTTACCCGTATCATGGGCTCACTCAGGAAACTCGAGTGGAGTAGATCTTCAGAAGAGAGATCCTTCCCTAGTGGTAGTCAGCTCTTAAATGGGTCTAGGAGAGGTGCAGCCAGGCTCCACCCCTTCCTGCAGCACAGGTGAATTGCTTTCACCTGTGCTCCCATGGCTGACTCATTGCTCGCCTCAGGTGATCAATCAGAGGTTCAAGCCATGACTCAGCAGTTCCCATACAGCCAGGCATTTAATTTTCCTATGGTTCTAGTCAATAATAATTCAGGAATATGATTAAAAAGGAGTATACTGGAATACCAGATTATGTTTGGACTGTATTTCAAGGCTTCTTCATACTTCTTCCCACTAGCTTTTTCAACACATTTAGGAGTTTCTTTGCTGTTTCTGGTTTCTCTGGTGGCTTACTTCAGAAATGATCCTGTCTCAGGAGGCTTTTACTTCAGTAACATGAAACCCAGAGACAATCCTTGAATTCTGTTCCTGACTCATTTGGCTCTTAGGCCACTGTAAGTGATAATACATCACTTAAGCTTATTAGCTCTCAGTTAACCACCTCTGTCCATTTCTGTAGGGAATGCTGACTATATGCATGTGTAACTTCAGCAAATCAGAGGATTATATGGAAGGTGCCATTGTTAGTCAGCTGTCAGTAAGAGCAACAAAAATTAGAAACATGACTTGGCTGATCTGTGATGAGTGATCTGCTCCCCAGCGTAAGAGAAAGCCCATTTCTTTCTATGTACACAATTTGTGACTGAAAATCCTTGGGTAAAGACTTCAACTTTTCTTTAGCATGCTGTGTGTTTATAGCTATGAATCAATAGTAACTTATAGTAAAACTTAGAACTAGGTTAATGAACCCACAGAGCTAGTGAATAATTTCATTTATAATTCGCATAAAGGCCAGTGTTTCTGCCATCTCTTCTCATTCTTTCATCCAGGATTTTTTCTGACTGAAGACTTTAGCAGAGGTCTGCCTTTCCTTTTTTGTTTCTTTTCATGATTAAATTTACTTGAAACATCATTGATACTGGTGCGTATAAGCTAATCTCCTGTGAGTGAGTGGCCCACTTAAAGCAATTAGAAGAATTTGAGAGCAAGGGAGATGAAATCTTTAGGTAAATGAGAGCTGAATCTCATCTTCTTTCTCAGTCCTGGAAAGGGTGATGCCTCTCAGAAAGGTAAGCTAGACTCTCCACAAGCTGAATAGCAAGGTGCCTGCATCTGCATGGTGGAAATGCACATACTTAAGAAAATTGGACATAGAAAAGAAAATTGTGGACAATAAAATTGGATTTATTCTTTTTGTTTTGAAACTTGGTTATGTGGTTGCTATAAACAGGAGAGTTATGTTTGTATTCTGATTGGTGCTAATTTAAAAAGCCAGCTAAACCAAACCTTACCAAATTAAGTATGCAAAATCACCATGTCTAATCAAGCCCATGACTACATACTGTACTGTATATGCTCTTATCTCGAGATTGGCCTGGAGGGAGTGTAAGAGACAGGTACTAATACCATTCCCTCTGAACGCCACCTGTGCATAATAGTTACTCTCATTTGGCAGCTCTCTGTCCTCTAAATGTCCAGTTCAGACATAGAAACAATGTTGAAAAGGGAAAAAAAGATGTTGATTACACTGAGGCAACCAATGCTAGTCCAGTCTTAGGTGATGAGTGGCCAGGATGCTTTGCTTAATCACATTCTTATTTGAAATGAAGTGCATTCCATTTAGGAGAATGTGTCCAAGATGTGAAGGCAGTGACCCCAAACTGCATGTATGGAGATATCAGAAAAACAAAAATTAAGTTGTGTTGAAAGCCAGATGTGATTTGTTTTTTAAACAGCCTCCTGCCTCCTATTCCATTTAACAGGGGAACCTAAAATTAGTACAAGACACGTGAGATGTGTTGTAGGAAGTAAGAGAGATTTGTGCTATATTCACAAAGCTATATTCAAGAAGATGATTTAAAGCTGAGGGTGTAGAAATTGCCCACTCAGCCTTTCATATTAGGAGCTAATATTGTGCTCTGATGCATTATTAGACAGTCTGGTCTGGAACTGTTTCTTTTCTACCTTCTCTGTAGAGTTCTGCTGGAAGTAGCTGGGATGTGCCTAAAGTGAGATACATGACACACCTCTGCTGTCACCTTCTCCCACAGGCACTTTAGCAGTGTATGAGGCAGCCCTGCAAAAGGGAGCAGCAGATTCCTTGCATGCTAACCACAGGACACCCTGAGCACTTCCTCCCCCTTTTTTAACAGGATAGGAAGATTTATGTGATAGAAAGCAGAGGAAAGCTGATCTCATGGTAATTAAAATTTTAGGTAAACTTTCCATTAGCTGCAAGACTTCCAAATCATGAGCTGAGAGTTGGTCAGAAGGCGATGGAGCTGGAGGTGTCTGTGTGTTATGGAAGATGATTTTATTTTCTCCAAGCATCATAGCTTAATAGTGTGGTAAAGTAAAATAGAAAGCAGAAGAAAATGATTCAACTACTATGGCTTTTTGGGATGTGTGGTGGTTACTTGTCATGCCCAGTCTCAGGATGTTGTACAGTGTCACTGAGGTAACAGCCCCAAGTGTCCTCACCAGGAACTGGGGTCCTGCTGTACTGGTATTATAAAGACACAGAGAAAGAGCCCCTTTCCCTTGTCTCCAAACAACCTGTAAGATGATGATGGTCGGAAGGAAAGAGAGGGAAAAATGACAGAAAGGAAGAAAGGAATTTACACCAGACCACACTGTGGTCAGTACAGCAGGGAGAGCTCAGGGCTTGTCACATTGCACATCAAATTTCCAGGATTTACAGACAATTTACTAGGAAAAGTTTCAGAGATGTCAGTGAATTCAAGAGCAGTTTGGGCAACTCTTCATCAAACTGTGCTGTTTGTTTTGCAGGCGCTTGTGAGCAGTGAGTTGAGGGTGCACAGGAGGTTACTGCAGTGCCAAAGCTGCTCTTATAAAAAATTAAGGAACCTGTGCAGTTTCATTGATGAACTGTGCACTGCCTGAAATACAGCTCTCTGGCAATCATCTCCCCGGCTAATGATTTGCAAATTGAAGATCTGTTTGATGCAGAGATAACAGATATCTCTAAATTGCTGTATCTTTGATGTCTTTGCTTGGCTGAAATAGCTTATCAGAGCAGTTTGAAGTGCAGTGGAAGGAGAGGCATGACAGGCAGAGGCTCCTGTCTCCCTGAAGAGGCAGGACTGCTCCCTGAGTTGTAAGCCTCCTAATGCTTTGTTTACTGTAAATTTAAACTTTCCAAGTCATGGGACTTCTGTCACTGCTTCCAAGACTCTGCTTGACAATGCAATGGTTTGCTCTCAGTGATTTTTCTCCACTCTGTTTTATGCTTTCCCTTTCTTTAATCCCATGACTTTCAGTTATGTATCCTTTTGTATTTCTTTATCTTAGCTCTCCTTGCCCTTTGAAGTTGGCCCTCCACACAGATTAAGTTTCCCACTGGTAGGAAATGTAGGTAATGGTTAATTAGACAGTAGTTGTAGTATGTTTTTTACTAGCTCTATTTACTGAACATAGTGCAGTTCTTTGCACATTACTGACTCCAGGCTCTTTTAAGGCTCTTGCAGAGGAGCTCTGGAAAATCTTGGTGCTGTTTTTTAGCATGTTAGTACCACTGCTGCCTGCACTACTCACCTTGCTGGAATTTACTTCCATAGCAGAGCTGATGCATGCCCAATTTTCAGCTTTCTATTTTTCAGTCTGGTGTGTTGGTGTATGTCACCAGTAATGTGGGTATAGTTTCCTTCTGCTAACTCCATGGTGAGCATCAGAAAGTCCGTGGGGGAGTAATAAGAGAGAGCTAGTGGAGCACTAAAACATGCCATAGATCAGTGGTCAAATCCAGAGCCTTTGTGCTCTTCTTAATTTAATGAACAGTTTGAATATGGTGCTTTGGGCAAAACTGAATTACTTTCCTGAGCAGCAGACTGGGAAGGTTTCTTGATAATACCGTAGGCAAGTGACCTGCATCTCAGCAGTATGGATTCCAGTTGCTCCTGTACTCTTTCCTTCCCTGTTGCTGATCCTTCAAATATCTTCTTACTGCACAAACATGCAATCTGCACGTAACTGGGAGAAGGCTCTCTGAATAAGATTGCAACTTTAAAGTACTAAGTTTACAATGTATTAAGGTAACACTAACAATCTGAGATATAACACTGAGAAGAGTGTTAAAATTCAAATAAAATGTAACATAAAGCCATTATGAATCCATTGTGCTGTGTGTCTGCCTGAAGGGAACTAATGCTGCCTTGTTTGTTCTCATTGCAAAGCTCATGGAAGAATACCAACCTATGTGTTGGTTTAACAGCAGTGCTTGGGCTGAGTGTGACCTAGAAATGATTGATTATATTTTAATTATTGTTATCTTCTTGTGTAAAATTCTTAGTACCAACCTGTGCCCATCTTCATCTGGCACACAGCTCTGATTCATTCATACAGCTCACACCCTGAATTCTTATCTTCTGTGACATACAATTTGGAAATCATTTAGTGGGGTTACTCTGTGCAATTTGATGCCTGAACTGATGTGCCCTGAAGTCATCCTTATGTTCCTTTGATAACAGAGGCTGTACAGAGAGAAGCTGTGTGTCAGAATCCCAGCTCCCATGGAATTTCATCATTGGCTTCTATAGTTCAGGGTTTCACCCTGAATGTTTTAAATCTATGAGCTACTGCAAGGTACTAAGAGCTAAGATAAATTTAATTACCTTGGGTTTTAAGCTCAGTTGTGGTCTATTTTAAGCATGAGCAGAAGTATTTCTTGAAGAGTGATTTGAAGAGATAAAATAAAAATGAGTGCACCCTTGGGAATAGCTGAGGACAGCCTTATTTCAGAGCTCCCATTCAGTTCCAGATTTAAACAGTTGATAACTAATGACCACGAACAATTACTATGCCAACAAGCTCAGCAAAATGAGCACGAGAAATGTGTTTCATCTGTAGTGTCCTCTTGCAAGACATGGTTTTGAGCTTGAGATTGCCCTTGCTTTAGGACCTGGGTCACTGCAGTGAGATTAATCCAGGACATAAATCACAGGGGTTAGATTAGTGTTTGTTTTACTTGAGTTCACATTTCTTTCTCTGTTATCTCCTCCAAATCTTGCAGCCTCTTAGCTCAGTCACGAACCTGAGAATGGAATGGGTTTAAGCAGCCACAGCTTCCCTCCTGAGCACTGGCTGTTAGCCCTTAGGCTTGATTTACCAATGAAAAACTATTATAAAATGGCACAACACAATTAAAGTGTCCTTCCTCCTCTTTCATGCCAGACAGGAATTTCTCCTCCACCTTCTTTTGTTGGAGTGACTTTTTTTTTTTTTTACATAATGTATCCTACATGACTTCATTTTGTGTTACTCAGGAGTCTACTAGCTGACTTTAGCATAAACAGCTGGTTATGTATACAGGTGGGAGCCACTTTGTGTTTCTAAAATTATTTCTATGCAAATTCATTTTGCTCATGGGCATTTTTTTTTTCCTGATCGTGTATTTCTGTGTATTTCTTTACAACTGACAGTGAGAAAAGAATAGAATGCCTGAATTTTTCAGCCATTTATCAAATGCTTGTGAGCTCAGGATACTCACACACCATCAAGAAAACTCATAGCCTTTCTGGGGTCAGTCTAGCTGATCATCTCCAAATTCAGAAATGTTTGCATTTAGCCCTGCCGAGGCTGGGGGTGCTGGTAGTTGAAAAATTGAACGTGAGCCAGCAGTGTGCTCATGCAGCTTGGGAAGCAAATGGTATCCTGGGCTCCATCAGCAGAGAGGTGGCCAGCAAGGACAGGGAAGTGCTTGCCCTCTGCTCTTGTGAGGCCCCATCTGCAGCACTGCGTCCAGGTCTGGAGGTCCCAATACAAGAAAGACAGAGAGCTGTTGGAGAGGGTCCAGAGGAGGGCAGGAATATGATCAGAGGGCTGCAGCACCTCCCCTGCAAAGACAGGCTGAGGGAGCTGGGCTTGTTCAGCCCTGGCAATGTTCAAGACCAGGTTGGATGGGGCCCTGGGCAGCCTGGTCTAGTATTAAATGTGGAGGTTGGTGGCCCTGTGTGTGGCAGGAGGTTGGAGTTTCATGATCTTCAAGGTCCCTTCCAACTCAGGCCATTCTGTCATCTGACATCCACTGAAGCTCAAATCTTGCCTAGAATTGTGATTTTTAAGAATAAGAACAGAAAGCTGTGGTATTGGTCTGTGACCTGCTGTGAGTTTCACCATTGGTGTGTGTTTTGTGCGGTCACTGCAGAGTTTAAGTATTGCGCATACTTACTGATAGTAATAGGGAATACATTTTCTGTGCATGTCAGGATAGGTGAAAATTGTATGCACCAGGTTTTAAATTGATATTAGGTCTGGCATAACTTGTTTGCTGATTTCAGTTTTTATTTTACACTTTATGGATATATTTAATTTTATCCAAGGCTTTACCCAAACAGTCTGCGGGAAGTCAGAAATCTTAATGATTTTTTGATAATTTTTTTCAAGAACCTTGGGGTGGTGCATCAGAATTATGTGAATGAAAAGGAAATATTGATTTCTCCTTCTCATGAAGTAAATCTGCAGAATTACGGCAGTTATCAAATTATGTTGAAACTGTAGATTAACAAGGAAGCCAGTCAGAAGAGTCATTAATAGAAGGTGTATTCAGCCTAAAGAACATTTCTCATTTCTGCGCTCTCACAATGGTATGTATGACTTTTGCTCCTTAATTTAGGTATAAACTTCTCCTTAGGACTGTTACTCTCAGTACTACTGAAAAGAAGCTCAGGATGTTCCTCTTACATGGGAAATATTGAATAAAAGTCACCACAGATCAGAGCAGGACAAGACAAAATTTTTTGACCTAAATTATGATTCCGTGGTTCTGAAGAGGCAATTTGTGGAGCCTGAGGTTGTGAAGCAATCACCTTTGTTCTTGGTTCTGTATCTAAGGACAGTTGAACATCTGTTGCTTGTTAAAGCGGAAACTTCCAAAGCAGCTTCTTGTTGGTCTCTGAAATCCACTGTGCTTTTCCCACTGGTTTTAGTGGCATCTATTATACAACACCAAGCCCCTAATATGCAGTGGTGAAAATTCTACCCATGTGGTATGGAAAGGTTTGCTGACCGAAAAGCAGAGCGCTGCCTTTGAGGAGAGGAAACTCCCTTGTGGGAAAGAGAACTTTTATGGTGTTCCTTCTTTCCCTTAGCTCCATATTTGTGGCACTGCGTAGGTGTAAAGTTGTGGTTGAGCAGTAGCAGAAAATCTTTTCAGGTCCACTATGATTTGGAGAAAGTTTCTTGCCATATATGAAGCTCTCAAGAGTTGTTCCATCTGTTTCTTGCCTTGTGAGATCAAAAGAGGTATCTGCATAGAGGTCTTACTTGAATTCCTTTGCAGTTCTTTGGATTTTGCATTAAATTAAATTTCATATGCTTAGTTAGCTGTTAACACTGTGAGTCCAGAAAAAGGAATATGCTGTTTCTGTGCATTTTAACATAATGGTCAAGCTAGGGCTAGTGCTTGCAGGCCCTTCAATACTGTTCACCTTTAATCCTTTCCATTCTAAGCTCTGTTTTTTGAAATGAGATGCCTACATTTTATTACCTTCATAAGTAAAAAACAACAGCAGCACATGCTCTCTCTTCTCTAGAAAAGGCTTGAATTGTCGTGGATTAAAGTTTAAAACAAAGGTTGTGTTCAGTAGAGGCACAAATTCTTGCATGTATGAGCCTGAAAGGTGAAAACTTCAGGAAGCTGTGAGCAACTGCCGGTGAGGCACTCCCAGACTGAAGAGAAATTGGAGCAGAAATTGCTGTTGTTTAAAGGATGATGTTCAGAGTTATAATGCTGAAGATAATAGATATTATGTTCAGGGAGAGCTCAAAAATAGAGAATCATTGAGGCAGAGACAAAATGGGTTTAGGAGGCATGCTGTGGCCTTTAGGATAATAGCATGGGGATAAGACTGTGGGAAAGTCCAATATCAGGGTGGGTACAAGAAAATGAAACTGAGGGGAGCCTGGGAGGGCTTCTGGGAGAAGATTTTCTAGCAACTCCTTGCAAGAGGAAATTAATTGTTTTGAGACTGGAATTCATAGCTCTGCATGGCAGAAGCTGAGTAAGGTTGTGGGATTGCCTCACTCTGTGGTATCAAAACGCTCTGACACAGGTTCATGTATGTCAGACAAACATTGTGTTAGTGCTTTAGGGGCTCTGGAGGATATCTAAGCCATCCAGCTCAATTTAAAACATAATTACTGCTCCACTTAATAATATTTCCTCTACCTCACTTCTGCTCTGAAGGATCATATGGTTAAAAAAAAAAAAATATCATTAATCTTTCTTAATGAAGTTATTTTATAGCAGGAGACAGAATGGCTTGTCCCTGTGGATTCTGAGACAGTTTTGTGAGTGTTATGAATGGGGAGGTGGGAAGCGAGTGTTGGAGGAAAAGTAGTGTGAAAAAATGGAGATAAGTCCCAAAATACCAATGGTAGGAGGACCCTGTGACTCACAGATCCATGGTGAGTTTAGCTAAAAGGAAAGCAAAAGTCACAGGGAAGAGAATGTGCTTTATTAAAAACAGACAACTTGCTTAAGTCAGCATTCCCACCACAAGGACTGATTATTGGAACACCAGCTATCGCCAAAACATTGCCTTAACCAATAAGAGAGCTTTTCTGAAACCTGTGGTTGAAACTGAATCTCCAGAGAAAGCTAAAGCAGAATGGTGTGGGCAGTGTTTGGGCCCCTGCTGTTAACAGTCAGGGCTGATCCATCTCCTCCACATTGCTTTTCCTGGGACACACTGCTGGTGCTGCCTAATGCTATGATTAAACTGTGTGAGTCTTCCAAAATCTCTGCGAGCAGTCTAATGCATTCTCTTTGCATGCATGAAAGGAAAATGTGCTCATTGAAATAGTGCAAGTTTTAGTTCTCTCCTTTGCTGTATAGCTCCATCAGCACCCATTGCTTTAAGCTGGTCATATAGTCATTGCTGGGGCTGGCTAAGGAGGCAGGAACTGCCATGCTGTCTGTCCTTCAACTTGCCTGTATTTGATGGTTCTTTAGGGAGATACTGAAGTGCTTTCGTTTTCTGTTCCATGTCTGTGCATCCCCTGCTGCAGAAGATGCTGGATGAATGCCAGGACAGACGGAGCTGCCGGTTCCTTGTCAGCAGCAGGCTGTTTGGCGTAGATCCGTGCCCTGAAACAGCCAAATACCTCTTCGTGTGGTATAAGTGCAGGCCAAGTGAGTATCTCTCCATCAGATCTACTTTTTTTCTGGTGAGACGAAAACAATTTTGTGCTTAATCCTTGCCAGCAAGAACTTCTGGTACTTTTTGTTCCCTTCCACCTTTATTTTCAGTGTAACATAATGCTTGGGTGCAGAGCATTTCCCCTCTCCCCCTCATTTGCTGCACTGCTCTTGCTGCTGCTCTGTCTCTTCCTCTCTTCCCAGCACCCTGCAGTGAAGATTGTTTTTGCAGGTGCCAGTGGAAGCCTTTGCCAAGACCTCGCTAATGCTGCCCTGCAATGCTGCTGGCAATTAGGGGGCTGCTGCAGCTCCTGTCTGGTTCCAGACTCTGTCACTGCTGCCCAGACAAGCTGTAGATGCCTTGTCCCTGAAGGTACCCAAGGCCATGGAATAGGGTTTTGGACAGCCTGATCTGGTGAGGAGCAGCTAGCCCACAGCAGGTGTTGGATTGGATGGACTTGGAGGTCCCATCCAGCCCAAACCATTCTGTGACTCTACGATCTTCAGTGCCCATCCTGGCCACTAAGATAGTGGGACTTATTCCCTCTATTTCTATCCACAGCAGCATAGTGACAGCCTGAGTGGATAAAGATTTTGGATTCAGGTGCCTAAAGTGAGCAGTTAGGCCATAAGTCAATGGCACACTCACCACGCCATATCATAATCTACCTTTTAATTGCTTCCAGATCAGGCTGGAGAATACTAACCTTTGCTTTGCTTTTCTCATTAGCTGTGTTTAAATTAAATGAGGCCAGTGCGTGGGTACTGGGAGAGCAATCATGCCTGCTTCAGTGCAGTGAGGTCAGTGTGGTTTTAGACAGGGATAGCTGACACCTTCTTGGCCAATTCCTGGCCCTGCTAGAGCAGTCAGCATGATGTGGACACTGCTCCCCTAGGGTGCTCTGGAAGCAGACACATCATCCTGGAGGCAGATAGAGTCTAGCAGTGACCAATCTGTGCCACCTGATATCATCCAGAGAAAAGACGCTTACACCCTGTAAGTTATTAGCCTGAATTTGAGATTTCAGCCCTTTTGATTATGTTAGTGACATGGTTCTACCACACCAGCAAAATTTTTTGGGGAAAAAAAGATGTTTACATGGGGAAGTAAAACAACTGATTTCAGAAAAAAATCTGAAACAACAGAAGAAATATTTAGAAACTAAGCTGCAGAGGAGAATACTTTTTGCCTCAGCATGCAGAGACCTGTGCTAAGTAAAGAGATCTGGCAGAGCCTATGAAGAATTCAAATGAAAAGTTGGTAATGTAGCACCTGCATTTACTGTGGGGCTTTCTGAATGATTGGAACATTCCCCGTTAGGTGAGAAGCACATCTCTGTGAAGCAGGAGTGATTAGCAGAGTGTTCTGACAAGCCCTCATAAACCTGGGGGTTTTGTATGAAAGCTCACTTAAGAAATCTGACTATTGAGGCCAGACTGAACTTCTGAAAGTACTTCAGGATCCCATCTGTGCATAAATATTTATGGCTTAGCATTCTTTGCTAATTACAGCTATGCTAGAAAAGAAAGATTATGTGTGTGTGTACAGGGTAAGTGATTTTCCTGAAAAAGAGCAGGGAAAGTTGCTTAAAAACATTTCCCCCAGAGTTTTTTCAGGCATTTTCCCATTTTGGGAACCTGTCAGTAACACTTTGCCACTGGGCAAACCTTAATCAAACCTGCTGCATTAATAACAAAGTTTAAAATATGTGAGAATTAGCTTTGCATAGAGATACCAATGCACTTTCTAACTTTTCTTGATGAGTCAAAACTTTAAGCCTCAGAAATGCTTGAGTCTGGTAACCAAGCTTTTTCACTCTGCTGCTCGGAGAATGTTAATGAGAAGACTAATGAAGATGGTTCCGTAGAAGGCACAATGCAGGATTGTGATATGTTTTGCTCATTTCTTCTGAGCTACAGATGAATCCAGTGGAAGGCCTTCATGCTTTAAGTGATCCATGATCCAAAAGCTGTGGTGCCATGAAATGTTGGTCTGCTCCAGAAAGTCTGAGCACACATAGTTGTAACAGTCACTGGTGTCACTGGTGACAGCTCACTGCCTGACACATGCTTTGATCCATCATTTTGTCAGAGTCATAGCATGGTTAAGATTAGAAGGGGCCTGAAAGATCATATAATTTAAACTCCCAGAAGATTGCAGAAAACAGATGCAATTTTTTGGGCTATGTTTTTTTTTTTAACAGTAGGCATGATAGTAGTGCTTTAATAAGAAGCCACTTAAGGTCTGAATTGTATTCTGGAGATATCTATTTTTTTATTTTTGTTTATTTATTTTTTTGCCTATTGAGGGAGCCTGATGTGATCATGCAACTGAAGGTAGCTGCCTTGGTTAAGTGCCCACCTACGTAGAAGGAACATGAGGCTTTCTGTATACAGATATGAGAAGCACTTTGGGAAGAGGCCTACAGAATTTGCACAGGACATTAAAAAAAATATAAAGATGCCAAAGCCCTCCCACTCTTGGAATTGCATTCGAGCCTCAAAAGGTCCCTATATAGATGCAGTTATCTAAAAACAAAAAGCAGTGCTGATGTTAGTGGTGCTTGCTTACACCTTTGCTGAAGAAAAATAGATGATGTAGCCATGCCTTCCAGCCACTATGACTGCAGTTATGTCTCTTGGACATTGTGGTGCATGTGCAATCTAATGATTTCAATGCTCACTGGTGTTGTGGGGTTGATTTATAAGGCAAGGTGCTATTTTGGTTTCTCAGAGGCAGAATTTCAAGGAAATGTGGACCAGTATATCATGCTGAAACTGAAAGCCCCAGATGTTCCAAATTATGAGGCTCCAGTAAACAGCATGTGCTGCAGTAACTGCTTGGAGACTGCTTTCACAGTGTTTATTTGACCAGAGGTAGTGAGAAATGCAATGGCTTGTGTGCTTTGGGAAGTCTTGTGCTGGTCTCCAGTAATCTAATTGCTGATTCTAGGGTCTAGCGAACATTCATCTGCCTCTGGAGGACTCAGATATATGCTTGGGACAGCTTTAGCAGATCATCCTGCTACCTGCAGCTTCACTAAAGATCCCCAAAGGATCTCTGCAAAATGGGGAGTGTTATTCCCAACAGTGAGCCCTGAAGCTATTCAAGTGCAAGCATTGATGTAGCCTCAAACACGCAGTGCCAAGGAGCTGCTCTGGGTATGGGAACTCCAATAATGGCCCTGGCTCTGCTGAAGGCAGGCCAACCAGTGCTGCCCTGAGCAACTCCCAGGCCCAAATCTGATGTTCAGCACTGGCCAGGGGTGATTTCCAATAGAAGGTTTGGGTGTAGTCACCCTGTTTTAGAAGCTAAGAAAGTTTATAACAATGGCTATGAATTCTTTCATGCCAGCTGGCCTCAGCATCAGAGACCTGGCACATTTAACTTATCAGGGCCGAGGCAGCCAGAGATCTACATCCAGAGCACATTGGGGCCTCGTGTCAGGCTGAAAACATTGAGAATTTCAATCTCCAGGGTACCTCTCAGAATCATTAAAAAATTGCACCCAAATCCAATTATTTCTCAGGTAATGTGCCAATTTGATTTAGACCCATTAAGTATAAGTACTGGGCAGGCTACAGGAACACATAATTAGAGGGAACTGACATACTATTTAGTTGTTCTAGCGTGAATTCCCTGTAACTGAAATCTGGATTCACCAATATTATTTAAACAATTCAGTGCTTGTTCATCCCCCCCTCCCTTCATAGACTGATCATGTATTATTGTGAGTTAGTAAATGTTTGCTCTGTGTGCCAGACTTCTGGAGGGGCAGCATGGTCTGGTCATGGCAGGGAACAGAATCTCTGGGGCTGCTCAAGTCATACTGAAGAAATAATGTCACCTGTCTGCATCCCAGCAATACCACCGTAGCTGAGTTCACCAGGGCTCGTTGCTGCTCTGGCTGTTGTAGGAGCAGCAATTGATCTCCTTCATGCAGCATCTGTTTGCCCATGCTGGCTTTTTGCTTCTTTGTTTTTATTTTCTATTTTAAAAGCACCTGACCAAAACATGGACATAAATGTTTGTCTCTGTAGAGGGATTATTTAGTATGTTTAAGTTGCTATTCACTGGTAGTGTTGTTGATAATAAAGAAGGCTTCAATCCTGTTTATATGGCTTTTCCAATGAGTGCTTCACATACTGCCTTTCCCTTGTCTCCTCATCCCCTATTTGTTGCCATTGCTGTGCTGTCCTGTATGCCCTGTCCTCTTCTGAGTGACCTGGGCTGTAGCCTCCTGCAATGCTCTGGTGACATTTCCCTCTTTCCAGGCAGTTGCTATTTTAGCTTATGATTTCCAGGACTCTGGGAGAGAGAATTTCTGTCTAATGGTGTTTGTTTTTTTTTCACAAATAATAATTATTTTTATTTCAAATGCCGTATTGTGCACTCGGATGTGATAATGGAGGTTAGTGGTTATGAGGCTTCCCCATAATCTTTATCATTTAGCCAAGTATAAATACAAACTGTACTGCTCTCTCTTCTAAAGCCTAAAACCTTTTTAAAATTCAGGAAGCCTGGACTGTGACCTGCAGTCCAGTTGCAGCTCAATTCCCTCTATGACAATACAAGAACATATTTGTGAAAGTCTTTCTCGAGGCTTTGAGAAATGTGTCTGGGAAGCCTGCATTTGTTGGCAAAGGGTAAAGTGCCAGAAGTTTTTATGGGGGTAGGAGGAGAAAAGGGAGTGGGGGAGGTCATTTTGTTCTAGTTCAGGGCCTGGCCAGCTTTGATTTATGGCTGAAAATTGACCTGGACAAGTGTTTTGAAAAGAGCAGTCAGTTGTTCTCCCCACCATAGATTTAATTCTATGTAAGAAGCACAGTTAATTCGTGTGAACTGTCAATTACTGTTTTCCAAACATGGGAACGCTCACTCTGATGTTCTTGCCGAAGTCATACTCAGATCACTATTTCTCTTAACAGCACTAATGAATTCTAATTATAAAACAAATGAATTTGGAAATCAATTAGGAATTCTAACTAGATCT